TCTCTCTCTCTCTCTCTCTCTCTCTCTCTCTCTCTCTCTCTCTCTCTTTTTTGTTGTTGTCTTATTGCAGTTCTTCATGCTCATCCTGCTCATCTTCTTAGCAGAGCTGGCTGCTGCCATCCTGGCCTTCATATTCCGGGAGCATGTAAGTTGCCTCAGTATTCCCTTCATCGACGAAGTTCCTAACTAAAACAATACCTGGCCCTTGTGTCCGGTGATCTTCTCTGGTGTGTAAGAAACGGATAATACACTAACCTGTGCTCTCGTTGTCTATTCTTTTTATTCAGCTGACCAGAGAGTACTTCACCAAGGAGCTGAAGAGACATTATCAGGGCTACAACAACACTGACGTCTTCACCTCCACATGGAATGCCATCATGACTACAGTAAGGCCACAGCACACATGGAAAAGATCTTACATACTGTAGCTTTTACCAACTCATTGCTTTCACCAACGGTCTGTGGAAACGAGAGGGTTTGCAGCCTGGCGTCAGGGGGACATATTTTATAGATAAAATCCAAGACATTTAGGTCAATATTCATGCTGCATTGGTGCACGCATACAGTGGACCACAGACCAGTGCACAAATAGGCACTCCGGAATAAGGGCTTCTTCTCTTATTCTCTCCTCTCCTGCCACCAGTTTGACTGCTGTGGGGTGAACAGCCCAGAGGATTTTAAGGACAGCCTGTTCAGGATGATCAACCAAAATCATATGGTGCCAGAAGCCTGCTGCCAGCGTGTCAGTCAGACCGGGGAGTTGGCCTATATCAACCAGGAGCAGTGCTTATTAGGCAATATGATGTTCCGCAATAACAAGGTAACTTCTGACATCTCCCACACCTTCTCTCTCTCTCTTGCCCTCTCTCTTTCTCCCTCTGTCCAAACCACCTCCAGGTTTAATTAGAGCAGGAGACAGACGAGGGGTGACATCCAAGCACTCGTGACTCCTCCTCCATGGCTGATTAGTGCTTTTGGGTGTCATGGGAGGCCATCTTACTGTGTGTTATAGTGTGGAGACATGTGTGTATGTGTGCATACATTGGTAAATTGGAATTTCTGTGGAGCATGCATGTGTGCAAAAGAAGAGAATAATAAGTGCATGAATATGTGAAAATAAGGTGTGCTTCACAGTTACACACATGCACAACCACATCCCTGCTTCCATGTGTGTAAAGAAAGCCTTGAAGTGAAATGTAATTACAGTGAAAGCTGATAGGAAGAGGTTTTTACCACACTCTCCACCTGCTGTTTTCCAAACCACTAGAACAATGCGAGATGTCCACAATGTGCGTCTCTCTCTCCCTGTTCATTCACACAAAGAGTCCTCATTAAAAGGCAGTGAGGCTGGAGGCCCTGCTTCCCACTCATTCAACCAAGCCTTTGTTCAGAGCGCCACTCGATTAAAGCTGTGATGTTACTTTAATTGTCTCTGTAATTCTGCAAGTTTATAGCCCATTGATTGGCTGCTGAGCATCATGTCTTTGTGTGTCCTCAGGGCTGTTACTCTGCAGTAGTTGACTATTTTGAACTGTACATCTATGTGGCTGGAGCACTGGCCATTGTGGTGCTGACCATTGAGGTATGAAGGTTTTTCATTTTGGTGAAATCATCACATATGCAGCATTTTCTTTGTCTCTCGTGTGATGTGAATATTCATTTCAGGAATGGGAAATTTTGCATCAAGCTGTGTGTGTGTGTGTGTGTGTGTGTGTGTGTGTGTGTGTGTGTGTAGCGTAGTGTTATCTGCAAGGTCTGTGTATGGCAATATCTCCATCTAGTGGCAGAACTTGGTGCTACAGGAACATAGATCAGACTTTACAACTGGTTACACGCACATCTCTGTACTGAGTTCAGCTCAGCACAACAGTTCAGATCACATCCACGATTCAATAAGTAAATCAAAACACTTCATGCACATCTCACTGAACTCTGACAACATTTGTCTCTCAAAAAGAAAACTGTCACTCATAATACAATGGCCTAAAAACTACAGTAACAACAGATAGCATTATAGCATGATATGTATCACTTTTCTCTTTGAAGTAGCTTTTATTAAGTTATTTTTTAACATGCATAAACCAAGATTTTGTATTATAATACAATGAATAACATGTCTTGACTGCATTGATTGTGGTACCTTCAGTATGTCTTACAGAACCTAATGAGCTGTGATGCAGTATGCTTCAAAAGGCTTTATTTTATTATGCTTCAAAAGCTATCCTACACAGGCATATGTGTAGGATAGCTACAGACATAGATACAATAGTGTAAAACCCAAATAGTAATTTATGTATTTTATTCATTTATTGTCAATGTAGATGTTGCAGTCTAATTTACAGTGGTTAATTAATGGGCTGTGACTATGCTCGGTGAATTCAGTGGGAGTGGGAGTAATACACTGCTGTTCTAGCTGCACATGCACGTCATCATTTTACAAAAACAACTATGTCTTTTCTCTGTGTGCTAATCATTTATTTTCTCTTCTTTTCCTCAGCTCTTTGCCATGGTCTTTGCGATGTGTCTCTTCAGGGGAATCCAATAGAGCTGCTCCAGTGAACTTCTTTTTTCTTTTTTCTTTTTTCAAAGAAAAAAGGGAATTCAGGAGAAAAGAACAAAATGGACACTTGTAAATTTGTTGATCTCTTTTTCTATTGGCTAATTGGTAGAAAAAACTCTCAAACTCTTGTACTTCACAGCTGGACTTTTGAGGTACTGGGTGGCAAAAAAACAACAATGCGTGCACACACACACACACACACACACACACACACACACACACACACATAAACCATAGAGAATGTGGGAGATCAGAAACAAAACTGATGTAAAAAGATTTGTGTGTAAAGTGGAAACAGTAATTTTTTGGACCAGGTCTAGCACAGACTGGGTATAAAGTGGACCGGGTGAAGCCTGAGCAGAAGGCACTGCACTGACTTTTGGATGAAGAATATTTATATTAAGTGACGTTGGCTTAACTGTAAAGAAAAAATGTGTTTTATGTACACTTTGGCTGTTACCTTTTACCAGCTCATACTGTATACTGTAACACTCCCTCCCTCCATACGCCTTTTTTTTTACAGCCAGTCTTCTTTAATGCTGTATTGTGTGTGTGTGTGTGTGTGTGTGTGTGTGTGTGTGTGTGTGTGTGT